TCCGATGTACTATTTGACGGTTCCGTTGGACGAGATGAGGCCGAGCGTTCGATCTTCGATGTCCCGGAGGCGTACAAGGAGATCGCTGGACGAGCCGACGAAGCTCTTTGGCAGCAAGCGGTCCGTGAGGAACTGCAGTCGCTAGCGGACAACCATGCTTGGCGATTGGTGAGATGCCCTGCTGGTGTGGTTCCGCTCAAATCGAAATGGGTCTTCCGAATCAAGCCGGACGAGCATGGCGAACCGATCCGTTACAAGGCGCGCTTGGTGGCGAAGGGATTCCAACAGAAGCCCGGAGTCGACTACAACGAAACATATTCCCCCGTAGCAAAGTTAGCCACGATACGAACCGTTCTTGCTGTAGCAACCCACCAAAGGATGCACGTTCACCAACTCGATGTGAAGACCGCATTCCTCTACGGTGAGCTTGAAGAAGACGTCTACATGGCCATACCCGAAGGAGTTGCAGCACCGCCGAACTTCGTTTGCAAGCTGGATCGATCGCTGTACGGACTCAAGCAAAGCCCCCGCTGTTGGAACAACAAGCTAAACGACCTTCTACTGGATTTCGGCTTTACCCGTTCCCGGCATGATTACTGTCTATATATCAGGATCGACGATCGAGGGGGGGTATACATAATCATCTACGTGGACGATTTGCTCATTGCTGGCGATCGACTGGACCTGGTGAAGGAGATCAAGCGTGCTCTTTCCAAGAAGCTCCAGATGACGGATTGCGGCGTGGTTAATCATTTCCTTGGAATGAAGATCCGATACGACCGCGCCACCGGATGCATGTACCTGGCGCAAGAAGCTGCTGTGGACCGTGTGCTGACGAAGTTCGGCATGCAAGACTGTAACCATGTCAAAACCCCAATGGAGAAAGGCTGTTTCCTGCCACCACAAGCTGCGAATCCTGTGTCGCATCCATACCGTCAATTGCTGGGCAGCCTGATGTATACGATGCTGTGTGTTCGACCGGACATATGCTACGCTGTTGGATACCTAGGGCGCTTCCAAGTTCAACCTGATGAGGCCCACTGGCAAGCCCTTAAGAGAGTGGTCCGTTACGTGAAGGGGACGAAGAACTTGAAGCTCCAGTACAAGCAAAACGACGACGCCGAGGCACTTGTCGGGTACGCAGACGCTGACTGGGCATCGGATGCTGAGGATAGGAAATCCGTTAGTGGCTTCGTCTTTAAGGTCTTTGGGAACACCGTGTCTTGGGCAAGCCGCAAGCAACAAACCGTTGCACTGTCGTCGTGTGAAGCCGAGTATGCAGCTTTAAGTGCCGCGGCCTCCGAAGGGCTGTGGCTGCACGGAATCCTTGAAGACCTGAAGCAAGTTCGACCGGACACGGCATTCAAGGTGTACGAAGACAGCCGTGGGTGCATTGCAATGGCCACAAACACCGAAAGCAAGCGTGTCAAGCACATCGATGTAAAGCACCATTTTTTGCGCGACCATGTGGCACAAGGAAGACTTCAAATCGAAGCAATTGATACAGCAAACCAAATAGCGGACACGTTCACCAAGCCCCTGGAACCTGGACGTTTCCGCGAACTGAGGACCCTCCTAGGACTGACCGATTCAGGGGGGGTGTTGGAGTAAATCGGTAACGCAGTGTGCTGATCACCTCCTTGGAGACCGAACGTCACCCCTAGCAACCTAAGTTTTCTTAAATAAACAACGGTGAAAAACTTTTCATTCCTGTTCAAGACTCCACTCAAGCTAGTCGTTAAATAAAATCCATTCTACTTTTAAACTTTGCTGTTCCGGTTCTTTCTAACCATCAAGATGCTTCAATCTCCTGCATTGATGGAGCCTCGGAATTGACGCGAGTGCTGCGCCGCACCCCATGCGGATCATGCCGAGATGGTTGATTGGCCGTCGAAACTTGAAGAAGATGTTCGAAGTGCTCAAACCAGCGTTTCAGTGGGGTCGGTAAGCAACTGTCCAGTCTTCACTGCCATCCTCGGGTTCATCCTTGCTCCACTCAAGCGTTGATATCGTAGAGGAGACGTATATCGCCAGTATTTACGGCTTTCTCCCCTTCGTCGGCCAGGAAGTTCACCCACGCTTTAATCAGGTTTAACCAGTGATCCACTCTTTCCTCTTGGTGCGTAGCTCAACCAGGTTGTTCTCTCTTGTTTCTATAAAGGCATTCTTGTTGGTCGTCCATTGTTCTTCTACGCTGCTACCTTCTGGAACGTCCGCAGCTCAAGTTCTTCAACAAAAGACCTTTTTACCGCTGGATCTTCAAGTCGGCGTGTGTTGAAGCGCCGCCCGAGTCTCTCCTCCCGTCGCTGGGTCCGCGCCATGCGTAGGCGGATCTCGCCGATTAGAAGGTGATGGTCAGACGCGATATCGGCGCTGCGTTTATTCCGGACATCAAGAATGCAGATGTGGTCGATTTGATTTTCGGTATGTCCATCACGGGAAACCCACGTGACTTTGTGCACTGGCCGATGGGGGAAGAGCGAGCCCCGGATCACCATGTCGTTATTGCCACAAAATTCTGCAAACAGCACACCGTTTTCGCTTGTTTCGCCGAGACCATGGCGTCCCATGACACACTCCGAGTCGATCTTTGCATTGAAGTCGCCAGTGTAGATATTGATGTCACCCTTTGGAACCTTATCCACGACGGCATAACATTGGATTATGGTAAGGTTACGAACCCGCGTTCTAAATCTGGCTACGATTATCCTCTCATTAATAGGCTCCCACTTGATGAGCACAGCACTTGCCTGGACGCTAAGTAGGAGACCAGGAGACGATGGCGAGGAGCGTTTTCACCAGAGTATAGTAGTACCTGTCCCGACGGCAGTTTGTGTTCTCCAAAGTTTGGCCAACGAACTTCACTCAGTCCCAGGATTTCTAGCTTCATGCGTCGCGCCTCGTTGGCAAATTATGCCAGTTTACCCTGCTGGGCTAACGTCAATACATTCCATAATCCAATTCGTGTCCGTTGTTTTGCGCTAAAAGTCTTATCGTTAAATCAGTTCGATGCCTTTCTCTGTTGGTTTCTTGAACAATTATAAAGGTTTCAGAGACAGTAGGTGGTTAGTCTAAGGTCTCGTATTCGCCATGATGGGGCTATCATCTTAGGTGTAGCTTCCGGAGAAGAGCATTTCTTATTCAGCCACTGGATGCCAGTCAGACAATGTCTGAGCCGCATCTCCATGGTTAACAGACGCTCGGGTTGGCGAAGCATTTCCTCTATCACCTTGCTATGGTTACCGCGCCAGTGTTCGCGTCGCACCTCCTCACTCTGCTATTGTCGGATTGACAACATTGCCCAGGCTACACCAACCAGCCGGGTCCATGTTTCAACTGGCAATCTTTTGTGATCATATGACTCGTGGAGGCGTGAGGTAGGGACTTGTGAGGACCGGAGCTAGGTAGCCCTATGGAAAGGAAGGAATGTCTAATGTCGATATGTCTAAGAAGCTAAGGAAGAATCTAGATGCTAAAGCGTGGAAAGGCTTAGTTGTTGGTTACGCCTGCAACGGGTATCGAGTATGGGATCCTAAATACAAGAAGATAGTGCACGCTTGGGATGTTGACTTTCTGGAGTCTGAGCATTTCCAGTCGGAGACTAAAAAGAAGCTGGTTGACGATTCGCTCTCGGAAAATATGGCTGATGAAGAAGACGTAGTTGAAGAATCCACCGAAGCGGATACGGATGAAGAGTATGACAGTTTTACCGACGAAAATCAGCCGGATGAAGCGGAAGTTCAGGATGAAAATGAACAACCCCAACGCGACCAGGGTGGCATGCCGCATATGCTCTGAACGCAACGAGTTGAGGATTTGCCGAACTCGATCGCTAAGGCGCAGAAGCGAAGCGACTGGAAAAGTGGAACGTGGTAATCAACGAAGAAATGGCGAGTTTGCTGAAAAATAAGACCTGGATGTTGAGTAAATTACCTGACCATAAGCCCATCACCAGTAAATGGGCGTTCAAGGTGAAACTTGGTTTGAATGGCGAACCTGATCGCTACAAGGCCCGCTTAGTAGCGAGATGATTTAGTCAGAAATACAGTTTTGAGTTAGCTTGTCAAGAGAGGATGGTGGTTCATCAGATGGACGTGAAGACGGCTTTCCTGAACGGAAGCCTAACTGAAGAGATTTTCATGGTTCGAAAGGAAAGAGTTTAGTGTGCCGTTTGGAGAAGTCGCTATACGGGCTGAAACAAGCCTCACGTGCGTGGAAAAATCGTTTTCACCGTTTGTTGAAGATCGTTTGGTTTTCAAGCGAAGTACCAATGATCAGTGCTTGTACACACGAAACATTGGAACAGACAGGGTGATCTTGGTACTGTATTTTTAAAATTGTGTATGGACAATTCTAGATAGAGCCAAAATTAGGGCGTAACAGTTTTTGCAAACAATGACTTCTCGCGAGGATTTCTAGGAATTCAAGGCACGCCCACGCAAACCAACAAAACCATCGGGTAGGGTAAGGCTTCCCCTATCCGATGAAGATGATGATTTGCGTGGGCGAGCCTTGACTTTTTAGAAATCATCGAGAGAAGTCATTATTTACAAAAGCTGTTACGCCCTAATCCCAGCTCTATCTAGAATTGTCTACGCAGAGGGAGGGGGAGGGGGGTAAGAATCCAAAAAAACTGTCTACGTAGTTAATGAACAGTCCCTAATTCCAACGTAATTTTTTGAATAGAATGCGTGCTTCTTTGGCCTATTGAAGACGGCATATTTTATTACGTTTGTTTAGCAATGATTGGGTAAACGTTGCATTTCCAGTGGCTAGTGTCAGTCACTCGAAAGCAAAACATATCACAAGCCTATCATGATGCGAGCTTAGATGTGTGATTGCTTTTTCAATTGTTTCTGTTGCGTATAAAGTGGTAATGATTGGAAATCGGAGCAATCTCAAGTGTTTGTGAACTTTGGATAAAAACCAAATCTCCAATACATCCGACGAATCAGTTAGGATTTCGGATAAGCGAAAACTGCTTCTTTGCTACGCATAAATACTTGCCCACATTAGCTTATATTCTTCGTCAATGTTTCCTAGAATAGCTTGGTACCTACTCACCTGGACTCCAACCGATTCACATCATGCTATCCGAGTTCTGATCGGGATTGGTGTCCTCCGACTGTCGCCACGCTTCATCCGAATCGACTTCCACTTTGCAAATCATACTCTGCTCGGCATCGTCGGTGACGGAATTGTCCATTTGCGCTCTACTGCTACTGGCCGTGCGTCTAGGCTCACCTGGTAGCCTCTTCCTGCGAGGCCGACAAGACGACCGCCGGATCTGTTGCCGGGCGGACCGAGCCTTACAGTACCGGAACAACCGGGTGCGACAGAAAGCTTCCAACTTGCGCGCATCGTACGTGTAATCGCCGAGTCGAACGATGTTCAACAGCAGGTGGGTCACGTTGCCAAACTCTCGGAATCCACGGTCCGATTTCTGACCCCGGCTGATCCCGGTCCACGTGAAGTGGTTCCAAAAGTCCCGCGTGAACAGATAGTCAACGATCGTGTACAAGGCATTATCGCCCTTGCCCAGACACGAATTGGGAAAGATTATTTTTGCAAAGTATTCCAACTGAAACCAAATGGGGGTTAGGCTTGAACTTTCTTCTAGAACTGAAGATGAACTTACATATTTCTGACAGAGCGATGCATCGGCCAGCTGAGTGTTCCACTCGTCCAGTTCGTGTTCGTTGCTGATCTTCTTGTGTTTCTCCGCCGTTCCGGTTTCCGGTTCCGCCGAGCGAGGTTGATCCGGTTGTGCTGAATTGCTGGGGGTACTACTCTGTACGCCAAAGACGGACGAAAAGCGATTCAAGTTCGTTCGGAAGCTCCGTTCAGCTGCAGCTTCCACGGCCGTCTGAACTAGCGTGTTCAGATCGCGCTTGAGACCGTGGATTTCGTTTCGAAATGCCTTGTAGGTAAGAGTTTCTATGGTGGGAAGACTAAGAGGATCAGTTTCAGGTCGAAATTGAAAGGAGATGCATACTACCTTTAGGAACCACTGGCACCGCGTTGATGGAGGGCCCTGTGGTGGGTTCAGGATTTCTACGCTTCGAAACGGCCTGAGCAGCCGCTTCTGCCGATTGGAATTGTTCAAACTTCTGAAGGACAATTACCGAGACGTCCTCCGATTCTACGGTGTCATCCAGTTGAAACCCATCCTGGCGCATTTTGTCGATCATTTCGCCGTTCACCAGTTTGGGCCACATCAGCAGGTCGTCTTTGAGCCATGCCGTTGGGACGGCCACCACTTTGAGTATCGGAGTTCCGATGAACTCAACAACGGCGAACATCTTGACTGCGGACTGACTATTATTGGAGAGTATTCGTTTCTTCGCAGGTGGAACTTCTAACTCCAGTTCGTCGTCAGTTATCGATGGAAATTCATGTACTTGTGGAGTGATGAGATGCGATTCTTCCTCAACGACAGGATCCTCTAGTTTGGAACGATCAAGCTCCTGGACCGCTACCCGATCGTTTGGTTCAAGCTTCTGGAATGTCAACTTCTCGACGGACATCTTCTGCCGAAGTTTTTGGTACTGCTCCGCCGCTTCCTGTATTTCCTGCCAGAAGCCGTGGGTCGCTTCCAGCCGAACTTTGCACTTTTCGCAAAAGTATTGTCGCTCTGAAGGCTGCTCGGAGTGCAACCATACGCCGAAGTGTTTGTTGGCCATCCAGGAGAGCGGCTGACCCACGTTGGGTGGCCGTTCGTTGACTTCGAACATGCTGTCCACGGAGTCGTGACGGAGACAGAGCCGGCACCACGCCACCTGCAGTTGGGCATTGTTTCTGGAAATTTTTATTTAGATTCATATTGTAACATTGAGGTAATTTGGGTTCAATTGCTCAAGGAAGTCAGGTCAAGTCTACGAATTTATCCGTAGAGTTACGGGTTTTTAGATTTGCTACGGATCGATGCACTGACCATTCTAAGGATTTTAGTTTTTTTTTTAAGTGCAGAAGAAATTCTACGGAAATTATGGCTCTCCCCCCGCTTATCACTGCATGAAAAGTTAACAAACCTGGTGGTGGAAAGAAAATGACCCAAATGTGTGCTTCCTTTGAACGAGCGTTGCTGTGTTTGCTTCCATACTTGACAAACAAAAATGTTTGTCCTATCAATCTAAACAATAAATTAGTAATTTGCGATCAGCATATCAATTGTAAAACCATGTCAATCGCCTAATCCAACATTTTCTTATGACTTTACAATTAAATTTGGATAAATTATTTGCATTAAACAAGATATTTTCTTCAACAAGGGAGTTTTACCCCCCTCCCCCTATAGCCTCTACAAGATAGCCTTGCCCTTCTGGCATCAACCGAACGAAATTACCTGCAAAACAGCGTCGGTTCCTGGTATTCGGTCTGATTTGGGTGCTGCTCTTGCTGTTGATGCTGCTGCTGAGATACATCGATGCCGGCGAAATGCGCATTGCAGATCTGGGCTTCGACGAGCGACCGTCCGGTACCGGCACGGATAGCCGCATTCCACCGGGAAAGCAGCAATTCATCCCGTGGAAGCGGGGTTGTCCATTGGACGTGCCGGTTGCTGCAACCGGGAATGCAGCAGGACATTCCACACACCAAATTTATTTTAATTTACCACTTTCTGGAATAAACGGCTGCAATTATTATTCTGCAGTGAGGGAGCAGATCTGTAAATTTGGCAAAACTTGGGATGTAAACAATCAAAGAGAAAGTTTGACAGCACGCTGCACGGTTGAGGTAAATACTCATTATTTTAGTTGATTTCAAGATGATCCTACACTCAAAATAATCGACACGTTATAGTTACGTGAAAAATCACGTACACAGCAAAAAAAATGTAATATCGATCAATGTAATTCAAGCTGATGTGTGAAATAATGATGTAATAGCAAAAAGCAGATACAATATTACATCAATGGATGTAATTTTGTTCGCAAAATCGATGTAAGGTACACCGGGGGAAGTGGATACAAGAAAATGCACAGTTCAACTTCAACTTGATGTGCAACTCTTAAAAATGCATCGATTTTTATTCTGTTGATTGTAAAATGAATGTGGAAGTGTTGTGCATAACACAATATAAAAATAAAATCATTAAGATTACTCGCTAGTGCTCACCAAAGATTTAAAAAAATTGACTCGATGGTCCACTTACCCCGGTGGTTCGGGGTAAGTGGAACAGCGATATGTTTGTAATCATAATTGAGAAATAACGATTGTGATTGATATAAAATGCATTTAGAATATCTCAAACACGCTTAAATGACTTATTTCTTATGAAATCATTTATAAGTACGTAATAAAAATTAAAATAAAGAAAGAAAACCCAGTTCTTAAGACTTTTTTTTTTTTAGACTTTATTAACGAGATTTTTAGCCCTTAGTTCTTAAGAAGTACACCGATGAAAATGGAAAAAATACAATACAAAGTTCGACTTCTACTTGATGTGCAACCTTCAAAATTGCAATATTTTAGGTTTCTTTACCAGTAAGTTGTAAAGTTAATGTGTGACTGTTTCATATAACATACACACAATATCTCATTGATTGCATTAGGGTCTGCTCACATATTACGTAACGCAAGAGGGTGTAGCTGTAGAAGGGTATCTGACAACGGGGTATATGTCATGAATTAGCTGATATGAAAAAAGTGACGAGCGAGTATGGGGAGTATTCAAAATCTCACCTTTCAACGTTAAATAGTTTATGAACAAGCCTTTATACACAAAAAATACGAGATTTTTAAAAGCTGACTTGCTCATGCATTTACATTGACGATATGGGGTAATTGGTTCATCGGGAGTTTGTTATCATTGAGATTGTGGAAGAAATAATATACAATTAGAATTAAAATATCTCCAAACACCTTCGTAGCAGATGTTGTGGCACGTTGAAGTCGATTAAACCTTTCAAGTGCTCCTGGTTCGTACTTCTCATCAGGAATGACTTTGTCAGAGAAGGGGAAAATCCCTGCTTTCTTGAACCCGCTGATAAGTTCGTCTTATCGAATTGGTTCCACGCTTGAGAAATAAGTGTAGAAAATACTGATACTGAATACTGAAAGCCTTGACTCCGTAGTTTTTGCGCTGCCAAGCAATTAATAGTTCGTCATACCTTTGCTTAAGGGATTTGAAAACAGAAAGATCCATGGGTTGAAGCAAATGGCTTGTGTGAGGTGGAAGTTTCAATATCACCACTTGCTCTTGCAACGCTTTTTCAATCAGCCTGAGACTGGTGTGGGACGAATGGCCGTCATAGATTAGAACAACGGGTCGTTCTTTCGGGATCGCATTTAAAAATTGACGCTCGAAGTAATTGTTAAATGTCTCAGTATCCATCCATCCGTTCGGCGTAGATGCGTAACTTAGGCCGGGAAACTCGTCCTTTTTCGAGGCCATCCAGCTGGTCCAAACGTTTTTCGCTTTAAATATGATCAGCGGAGGCAGTTTCCCACCTACTGCATTAGCACCCATCAATACAGAAATATTCTCCTTAGCAGGTCCTGCTGTAACGCGATGTGCTGCTGTCCCCTTTGCTCCAACAACTTTCACGCGCTTTGGGTCAAGACAGAAGATTGACTCATCCAAATTGTAAATACGATCGGGAGGCACTCCCCGAGTTATCTTCTGGAGCAATTGAAAATAATCAGCCATGATAAAAGGATCAATGCATCTCTTGCGGGCGACCTCGACAGCTTGAGGCTTCTTTTGAGACAAACCATGGCGTTTCTTGAAGCTGTAAAAATATTCGTCTCCAGGCATCGAATTCTTAAAGGGGTTTGGAACATCATTTTCTTTTAAGTACCGTGCAATAGCCTGCAGTACTTCAGACTTGGATAAGCCAAACCCCCACTTCTCCATGGTTTTAATGCATGAGGCAATTTTGGCTTCTTCGTCTATCGGAATCGCAGTGGATCTACCTCCCGTAATACTTTTTACGCCTCTTTGGCCATTCACTCGCTTGTATAGGGTTGATCTTGGGATTCCATAGCATCTTGCAGCATGTGACAAAGTCATTTGTTTATTTTTCACAGATTGAATGGCAGCATCTAACGTAACTTTAGAATATGTAGATACTGGCCTTTTTCTAACGTATGTCCGGGTCATTGTCGCTGAAATAAGATAAACAATAAAATAAATAATCAATTACAACAATTAGCATGAGAAAAACCCACAGACAATGGTCCATTTTTATGTAAACACAGCATGTCCCACTTCCCCAGGGCTATCAAACATTGGGGGAAGTGTATCATTGCAAATTTAATTTCTTTGATAGTTTGAAGCACTGAATATTTGTAGTGATCCCAACAACCACATCATAATAGTTACCAGCAATACGAAACAACTGCAAAAACTGGTGGTTGAAAACTATACGAAGCTTTTTATTACGATGTGAGCCAACTTTTTGCGGAACTGAGAATGGCGTATCAAGGAATTAGCTACGTTAGTGTACGTATGCTCTCGATATTATCGTAGTGTTGGTGTTAGTAGGTCACTAGGATCCAATACATCTTTATTATGCAATTATTAGTACAAAATTTCAACAGTAGAATTTTATAAAATGAAATGTTCCACTTACCCCGATGGTACACTTCCCCCGGTGTACCTTACATCGTACAACGTTATATTACACAACCGATGGATTGACCTGGTTGCAGCAGTTTGGATGTAACAACTTTTTTTTCTGTTTAATACCAACCGGTGGAAGCTAACGACTTTAAATTGGCTCACTACTTGACTATCCTATTAAACAAATACCAGGTCTGCGTGGGCGTGCCTTGAGTTCCCAGAAATCATCAATAGAAGTCATTGTTTACAAAAGCTGTTTCGCCCTAATTCCATTGATAAATAGCAGATTTTTAGCGATGCCCTAATAAAATGTGAATGTTTATTTTGCTTAACGATGTGTTCGTAATATCATTCAAACCATTTCTAGATAGAGCTGGAATTAGGGCGTAACAGCTTTTGTAAACAATGACTCTTCTCGACGATTTCTAGGAATTCAAGGTACGGCCACGCAAACCAACATAAGCATTCGATAGAGGAAACCTTCCTCTATCCGATGGTGATCTTGATTTGTGTGGGTGAGCTTTGATTTTCTAGAATTCTTCGAAAGAAGTCATTGTTTACAAAAGCTGTTATGCCCTAATTCCAGCTCTATCTAGATTTGTGGAATAGTTCAACCGTTTGGGTTATCGTTCGTGTATGATATTTTTTTTTATTAGGGTGGGCTCAATCTTAGATCCATAGGCCAACATTGGGCCATTTCCCCTATATCACTTCCGAGGGTATCGAGATTTGCCGATAATCCCTGGAGGGGGGGGGGATGTGCTATCAAATCAGCCTACTGATCATTCTTGTATGAAACTGGTTCCAAACATAAACAAACCCTGTAGGTTTCTTATGGCTTGTTTACGTTTGGAACCAGTTATGCGAGGTAGGCGACGATTGTTCGTATTTGACAGTCACCTCTCCCCCTTGGATAATTCTCGTACTCAATCGTACACGGAGATGAAAAACTACCCAAAATTAAGTACCTTTTCCTCAATTCTGGGGTTCAGCCCAATAAAGAGCAACCGTAACGGTACGCTGCTAAACTCATTTTAGCAGCCCTCATCATAGCGCAGCTACCGTATCGGGGGTTGCCATACGAGTAACTGAAATAGCAGTCGGCTTCTCGGTGAGAAGCGCGTTACCAAATTTAGCAGCGCGATAGCAGCGCGATAGCAGCGCGATAGCAGCGCGGGAGAAAGGTTGCTATTCGTAGAAATGTCAAAATGCTCACTACCGGTACGGACTACGGCGAGTAAATTGATAACCGCGATAGCAGCGACCGGTGTGGAGAAGAGTGACTAAACTGAAATGAGAGCGCTGTGCGCAGTTAAAATAGTCGCGCAAATGACAACCACCGTTACGGTTGCTCTAACCCAAAACGTAAACAAACCAGAAAATTAATTCAAAAAAATTCCGCCACTATTCAATTCATATTTAAGAACATTGAAGTATTTTAGGCATTTATATTGTTCACAATAACAATAGTAACTGTATCTCAGTATACAACATCCTAAATATGTGAAAAACTTTCAAAAATATATGAAAATTGATAACATTTTAATTTCATTAATTAATAAGCCTTTTTGTTAATCTTTCAATGGATAGGCCCTTTTTGTTAAGCCGTTGTGCTTGTCATCAGAAATGGTACGCCATTTGCTAATCCTTTTCGCAACGTCAAATAAATTCAAAACAAATCATCGGCCCTGCCTCAAGCAGTAGGCCTAGCTTTGGTTTGAAAATTTTCAATCATCGGCCCTTCTACGTCACTAGGCCTATCAATGAAATGAAATAAATGAATGGTTGGCCGTTTTAGTGTGTGGGCCTATAAATGAATTGAAAAATTTCGTTGATCGGCCGTTTCGAAAATCGAATTATTTTTAATGATTTTTCTCGATTATGCCGAAATTTTCTTACACGATTAGTAGCTATCAAGTGGTGCTAAATAATGGTATCAAAACCCGATTTGTTTACGTTTTGGACATAGGCCCATTTCAAATGTTACTCGAGAAATCGCATATAGTAGTTTCTATTTAACAGATTTAACACCAGCAAAAAAATATCTTCTCTTAAGTATATTCTACCCAAATTTAAGTTTAATTCACGTAAATTTAAGAATATGCAATTTACTCAAAAGTAACTTATTGGGCTGAACTATATCGTTGGGTCGAATCTCTTGTTCCTTTTTTGACAACAATAACGAGTGCAAGTGAGAGGCTGAAGTCAATATTAAGTAAAAAAGAACTCACATTTTGGGTAGTATTTTTTCTCCGTGTACCAATCTGGGGTCGAATCGTTGTAACTGTAAACAAAAATAACAACAACAATAACAATCGAATGTAAACATTATTTGCAGTGGTGCCAGAATTGATTAAAAAACTTGCTTATCATGGGGCGTTTGTTTGTGGGTGTTTGAAGTGTGTCGACGTGTGTTTCTCTTGGTGCTAGCACAATGTGGTAGAGTGACTTACCCCCTGGGAAAACCTCAAAAATCTGTCAGAAAATGAGGGAAATTGACTTAACTTTACTCATTTTGAAGCAGTACCAATAGACTGAGTGAATCCAAACTTTACTTTTCTCATATTCGGGAAGTTTTTCCTGGACAAACTGGAAAAATATGAGGCAAATTAACTTATCGCTGAACTACTGCATGTTGTTATTTATGAGTTAGCTAAACTCAAATTTGGGTTGTTCTCATTCGTTTCACTTTTGACCTACTCAAATTTGAGTGGTTCAGAAATAGCGTTTACCACTACAAATAACGAGAAGAAGAGCTTTTGTTTACAAACAACTTTAAATAATTTACAACTCTCGATGACAGACAGACCAGTTTGGTCCATCTCGTCAACTTTACATTTTTGTCGTAATATAAATTAGGAGAACAGTGTTCAATTTGTGGCGCGGCAATGTCCAATGTCTTTGAAGGTAGAAACGAGAAGCTCATCAAGCTCGTCCGGAAGCATCCGGAACTGTACGATCAACAGCACGCCAAGTACCATGACGCAAAACGCAAGAACCAAGTTTGGAACACAATCGGAGCGCTCATGGAGGAGGAGGGTAAGTGGGTACCTTGTATTAATTTGTTCGAGGATTGTAAAATTCATATAATCCAGAAAAATTATGTATAATGGCTGACTACCGTACTATGCTACTTCACTTTTTCCAGAGCACAGGTTTCGGACATTAGTGCGAACACAATTTCTAATTCATATCTGCTGTACTGAATGCACGGTATTGACGAGTGCACGGATGGATTTGAGTTCACTCACTCGACAAAAAGTGACACAACAGCGGGGCCCTGTTTACTAAAAATGAACATATATGTGTTCATTTTTAGTAAACAGGGCCCCGCTGTTGTGTCACTTTTTGTCGAGTGAGTGAACTCAAATCCATCCGTGCACTCGTCAATGCATAGACAGACAAAATCGTCTCCCCCTATTCTGCGAGTCGTTTGACTTTCTGTCACTATACTTCGTGAGGTGACAAAAGTCACCTCTTGTGACGTAACACTCTACTTATGGGGTTAACCTAAAGGAGGTGCTCTTTTAAGGACGATGTTTTACCATCAAAAAGATTCACAGTGTTACGTCTATTTGTCTTTGCTGATACCATCACCATGTCACGCTGTATGCTTTGGGCGAGCTAAAATTTGAGCTCTTGGACTTTCCCCGGTAATTCGATAGGCAACCAGCGTTTTGTTTAAATTAAAATTGTAATTTATTTGTTCAAAGTTAACTTCATAACCCATTCGATTTTAGGTTTGGCCTGCAAAAGCCGCTGGAAAAACATACGGGACCAATACCGCAAGAATGTAAAAAAGCACGGAACGAAAACACCGCCATACAAGTTCAGCAGATATTTGAGTTTTCTCAAGGAATTCACCGATGGTAACGAAACCGAAGAAAAATCGACCCAATCTGCCGCTGATTCGGACCACGACGATTTCTTCAATGAGTTGATCATGAAAAGCGAAACCATGGAACCCAGTGCTGTAGAAGCCCCGACAGACAGCTATGCCGACGTCACTGGGTCTGTCCCAAAGAAAGCAACCACCCGGATCGTCAGGAGAATTAAAAGACCTGAATGGAATCGGATTTCAGCCAAACCTACGTCCTCTACGACAAGTTCGCCTCGAGTGATGGAATTCTTGCTGCAGCAACTGGAAGCTACCCAGAGTCCAAGCTCGGTAGATGCATTCCTAGCTGGGATTGCCCCGACCCTGAAGAACCTACACCCCTACGAATGGAATCAGGCGAAATTGGAGATATTTTCAATCGTCCACAAGTACGAACTGAAGATGCTGACCGAAACGTCACCCTTGCTCTACCCGGATCGCCGCTCGGCAACGTGAATGGCGGTGGGAGTTTTCATTTGACTGCGATCTGCGATAATGTATTTTAGTTTTTAATCTAAGCTAATTACTTTTCGAATAAATTCCAAGCCTTGGGTCACGGTGCGGAATTTGAATCGAAAAAGTTCATTCGTTTTGAATTCCGCAATGCGACACTTGTGTTGGCTGTAAATCCGCGTTTTGATTTTCAATTAAACGCTGGTAGAAAAAAAAAAGCCAAAACTGCTTGACAAAGTGGTCTATTCGTTCAAGAACGAAGGATCCAGATTTGAAGGCATTAGGCATAGCCATTTTGACGACAAACTTGAAGAAGACTTCCGATGGCTTGTTGAATTTTATGCGGACGTGTGAATATTTAAGAAATGAAGATTTGACGTCACATTTTGAGCTCCTCCTTGAAAATGTTGATTATGAATAATGTAACCTAAATCAGTTTTTGTTGTTCAGAATAAAATTTGATAGACCTAAATGCAACTTTACAGTTTTGTCATAATATAAATTAGGAGAACAGTGTTTAATGTCTTTGAAGGTAGAAATGTCCAATGTCTTTGGAGGTAGAAACGAGAAGCTTATCAAGCTCGTCCGGAACTATACCACCAACAGCACGTCAAGTACCATGACGCAAAACGCAAGAACCAAGTTAAAAACGCAATCGGAGCGCTTATGGAGGAGGAGGGTAAGTGGTTAAAGGTAAAGGTTCGTATGATGGTTCAAGACCCCTCCTTCATCTGTAAAGGAATGGGGGCTCCCATACAAATGAAACAAAAAAATATAGCATCAGGGCTATTCTGCGCGGCGTATGAGGTGAAGTGATGGTGAAGTGACAATTGTCACCTCGGGTGAGGTGACTCTCCATTTGATTTGCACGGAGAGTCACCTCACCCGAGGTGACAATTGTCACTCCACAAGTGAGAGCGTGTCACCTCACCTCACACGCCGCGCAGAATAGGCCTGCATGCTTTTTTGAATCGCCGCATAAACTCAAGCTAATATTGAATCCCGAGCAAGGCCGGGCACACTCAGCTAGTGAACAGTAAAACAAAAAGGATTCTCACATAATAAATCTTCCGATGACATATTAATTATAGACGTTTCATTTATCTTATGGGACTTTTAGAGAGAACTGTTAAGTGTCTAATAAAAATAAATAAATTCGGAAACAAATTTGATCTAATTTTTTATTTTTAAAATTTTTTTGAATTGCATTATGATTAACCCGTTAACCTATTGTGTTCACAATTTTATTGTTATTTTACGAGCAGCTTAGATAAGAAACTAAAGTACATTATCGCAGTTTGGAGTTCACGTTTCCGAGCGGCGATCCGGGTAGACCAATGGCGACGGATCGGTTAGCATCTTCAGTTCGTACTTGTGAACGATTGAAAATATCTCCGATTTTGCCTGATTCCAGTAGTGAGGGGATAGGTTCTTCAGTGCCGGCGCTATCCCAAATAGGAATGCATCCACCGGGCCCGGATTCTGGGCCGCCTCTAGTTTTTGCAGCAAGATTTCCATAATTCGGGGCGAAAGCTCATCGGTGGAAGCGGCGGTCGTAGTGGTCACAGGTTCCGAAGAAAGCCGTTTCCAAGCAGGTCTTTTGATTCTCCTGATGACCCTGATGGGTATTTTCTTTGGGACAGGGGTTTCAAGGGGATCCGTTGTTGCGGAATTGAACGCACTGGGTTCCGGTTCTATGGTTTCGTTTTTCAAGATCAACTCATCCAAACGATCGTTGTGGTCCGATTCTTCGTTCAGGTGTGCTTCAGCAAGATGTGCCGCTGATGTTGCCGGCAATGTTGAAGATTGGGACTCTTGATCGACGTCGTCGGTGGCATCGACGTATTCCATGAGGAAACTCAGTTGTTCGCTGAATTTGTATTTCGGTACTGCCGTTCCGCGACTGGATAAGTGCTTTTTTACAGTCTTGCGGTGTTGATCTCGTATGTTTTTCCAGCGGTTTTTGCAGGCCAAAGCTAACAACGAAGGAGTTATATTTAACGAGGTAACTTTCGTATTTACGTTTGCCTATCATTTATGGACTCAGTGATGATTTCCAATCAAGTTCCCATACTTACCGTCCTCCTCCATGAATGCTCCGATTGTGTTCCATACTTTGTTCTTGTATTTTGCGTCTTGGTACCTAGCGTGCTGATGATTGTACAGTTCCGGATGCTTCCGGACGAGCTCAATGAGCTGTTCGTTGTTGCCTTCGAAGGAATTGGACATTGCCACCACACTGTTTTCCTTATTTAATTATCAAAAACTAGAAAGTTGTTTACAAACAGTACTTAACATGGGCCCGGTCGATACGAGACGGACGAAACCCAATGAGGTATAGAGAGAGGTACAGCAGATCTTGAAATATTGTTGATTAGGAAACCAAAACATCAAAGTAACGCAGTTAGTTACGTCACTAATTGCTTATATCGTACAGGGGTTTTACTCACAGAACTTAACCGATTGTTTTCCTCGATAATCCCAGTTCATTGGACGAAACCCAATGAGCTGGATTACCGAGGTGAAGCAGTCGGTAAAGTTGTGTGCGTAAACCCCTGTACGATACATGCAATTAGTGACGTCACTAATTGCGTTTACGTTGATTTTTTGGATTACTAATACAACCATATTTCACGATCTGCTTCACCTCTCTCTGTACTCATTGGACGAAACCGACGAAACAGATGACTGTCGGACTCGCGCAGGGATGCCAGTTGTATTTTTTAGAAGAATCCAACTAAAAATCGGGTAAAATTTGCGGGCAAGGAAAGGATTATGCACATATTATGTCACGCTCTGAAGGAGGGGGTTTGTAAGATTCTGTGACAAGCAATGCACAGTGATTCAGAAAAAAAGGAAGTCGCAGACATTTTTGATTCATTTCATGTCCGCAATCTTAAACACATTTCGTAGTTCAGAAAATTGTCATTAGTTTTGGATCTTGAAAACTGGTCATTAGACTGATGCAAAATTTGAAATTTTCGCTCCACAGTGCTTAAACGGTTTCAAATTGGGTCCTGCTTTGCCTCTCAAAATTTGAACTACTTTAGTAAGAAACTGACTTGGCACAAACCATTTCAAGTTTATATTTTTATATCTATCTAAAAATTATTAAAACAAAAGTTATTTATGATTTAAGTCACTGATGTCTCATGATTACCCGCATAAACAATAACCATAAGAAGCGCCTAACCAACAATTCGGGATATCATCCCAACTTTATGTGGTATGCTCGCACCATCTATGATATCATTAGTGTATGGTACCCGTTTATTAGGGTATGCTTATTCAACTGTTGGTGATTCTGATGCGAAGAATAAAACACAAATATCATGGGGCCGTTCGCAATGCTGTTGTATTTTATAAGGACTGTTTCAATTTGAAACTAGAACAGAAACGCACCTCTCGCAATGCTGAGTTGCAGTTTCATAATTCGAGCACTATTTTGCACCAGATTTGCAACTGCTCGACTATTCTGTTTTATTTCTGAGCGAGTTTGAAACACGAATGGAACTCTGTTTCAAATTTCTTTGTATGTGTTTAAAGATGTTTCGAAGAGCTTCACAAACAAAAAAACGGAGAGCTTCATAGAGGACAGTAAAGTTTATAAAACTTGATGATTACAAACAGATTTTAGAACTGTGCGTTGCGCTGATCGTGTTCCAGTTTTATTTTTGACAGTTTCAAATTATAGAATTGACGAGTAGTTTAAAACAATCTTGAAACTCAGCATTGCGAACGGCCTTAACTATGTCACACTGCAGAATACAGTGTTGCCCACAAAACAGCTGCTTGATCATGCCATAAGATTATCAATCTCTTAAAGAATTAATAACAATTTAATTTGACATTTGGCTGAAAAACGATATTCAGCAAAGCTGTAGCTTAGAAAATTTCCCAGAAGAATAGTTATAAAAATTTTCGAAAAGCAATATGGAAAATTGATGGAAGATAATGAAGAAAAAGTTTGGTTTTTCCATAGTTATTTCCATATCAAGTCAATTTCTTACCAGATGAGTTAAAATTTTGGGAGGCTAATCAGGACCTGATTTGAAACCGTTTGAGTACTATAGAGGAAAAATTTCAAATTTTGCATCAGTCTACTACTCATGCTCCAGAAGCTTGTAACTTTTCCTATGTCGTGAGTATTAAATGTAAAGTGTTAAATTTCTTAAAATAAAAAAAAATCTAACCAACAAAAAAAAAAATTTCGGATCTACATTTATTTTTCTGTGTCTAGGATCTTGAAAAATTGTCTATGTTTGAATCATCTTGATACCCTTGAAACTCTACAGGATTTTTGTAGTAATCGTTTTTTTAAATCATCTCTAAATACCCTCAGAGCTCATCTTTGACCTCTCCTCTCAGGTATTCCCTTATCATTTTCGCCATAAAACTGATAAAAATCTTCTTTATTGTTTATTGAAAAATTCAACTGACAAATACTGTCTAAATGAATAAAACTTAAACTAAATAGTTACGGTCAACGGTACGGAAAAGGCCAAGTAGCCGATGACGAAACACGTCAGCTGATACATTGAAGTCGAACATATAAAAAAAGTTGTTGAATTGCCGGCTGATTGCTCGAATTGGCTCGTGTTGTGTATAATTCCGGCTCCGTGGTTCCAAAAACAGAAAGTCGCATTGACGAAGAGACCTCTCAGGGGCATACATATTTAGCTGTGACAGCAGTGTTGGGCAGTCAATGTCACCTGTAAGCAGCTTTCCAGCGAACATAGCTTGAGCGACCGTCCGTCTCACCTCTAATGGCTCGATTCCCAGGAGACGGCAACGCTCCTCGTACGGTGGCAAGTTCGTTGGGTCACGCCAGTTGAGGAAACGAAGAGCATATCTCACAAACTTGCGTTGAACGGATTCAATTCTAGTGATCCAGCTAGCATGGAAAGGGCACCAAACAACTGAACTTGACTCCAATAAGGATCGCACAAGCGAGCAGTAAAGTGACCTGAGACATAGCGGGTCACGAAACTCGTCGGCAATTTTGAAAATAAAGCCCAATTGTCGATTAGCTCTGGAGATGATGTCAGTGTAGTGGATTCTGAAAGTGAGTCTGCAGTCCAAGGTAACGCCGAGATCCTTTATGTGCTCTACACGAGCAAGACAGCGTCCGTAGAGAACATAGTCAAACATGATTGGTTCAATTTTTCGGTGATATGAAATAATGTTACATTTTTCTATGCTTAGACTCATCAAATTTCTTGAGCACCAGTCAGCAAAAATACCTAACATATTCTGGAGATCCCAGCAGTCCGAGAGGCTTTTAATAATTTTGTGGATTTTCGTATCGTCTGCATAGAAAACGCGGCATCCTAATGGTATCAGCAAGGCGACATCGTTTAAAAAGATCGAAAATAGTAGCGGTCCTAGGTTACTGCCTTGCGGGACTCCCGAGTTGTTTGAGAAAACATCCGATTCCGACGCGCCAAAATATTGACATGTACATAGCGATTCACCAAGTAAGATCTGAACACTATTTGATTAATCTGCAATGCTCTTCATTTAATAGCTATTGCTGTTATTCCTTGGCACAGCTGAGAGAATCCAACCATAGAGGTAACTCTAAGACCAGAAGGTCCCGACCAACAGGCTCAGCTCTAGTACTATCTTTGGTCCCAAGCTAATCAATGCACCCCTCGAAACATAGGAAAATCCTCGGGAAAATCCATGAACCCCTCATTTTATCTGTCAAACTTTCATAGCGAATCAAAACATATTCAGATTGAATTCAAATTCAAACATAGTGTAGTACTAGAATTGCGACTAGAATGGGGTCGTGAATCGATTTACTTGGGACCAATAGGCTAGTCAAGTAGTGAGCCAATTTAAAATCGATAGTTTCGTATTGATTGTTGATCCAACTGACTAATTAAAACAAAGCATTTTGATGGCCTCAACAGCTGTTGACACAATGTGTATGATTTCTACCCAGTACTCTGAATGTCAACGTAAAGAAATTCAACCAAACGCTGGTAAATGGCGGGAGTAACTTTGGCTCTCAGGAGTTCCCTAAAGAATTCTCCTGATAATTCACTTGGAGTTCACTTCAGCATTTACTCAGTATTCTCCCGAAATTCACATGGAAATATTTTAGGAAATCTAAAATTCTATATGAAGTGCTTCTCCTATGGAACGCTACTCTTCCCGTCTTGATATATCTCAACAATGTATCACCGGAATATCCTTGGAATCCTCCTAAGCTGAATGGTCCGGAGTTATTAATGCGTTTATTTTTCCAACCAACACCAAGGCTTACGTTCCTTAAACATATTCGTTTGAAAGATAAAGTATTAGCAACAATCAATACGAAACTAACGATTTTAAATTGGCTCACTACTTGACTAGCCAATTGGTCCCAAGTAAATCGATTAATTCTAGTCGAAATTCTAGTACCACACAATGTTTGTTTTGATTCACTATGAAATTTTGACAGATAAAATGAGGGGTTAATGGATTTTCCTATGTTTCGATGGGTGAATCGATTAGCTTGGGACCGAAGATAGTACCAGAGCTGAGCCAAAAAGTTGAGCACGTTTCTTCGGTACCACTCTGGTCTTAGAGTTACCTCTATGGTAGAACCACCCAACAGGTGGTTGTTTTTTTCGTCGATCTTGTTTTCCGTGCTGAGCACCAATGCTACCGACGTGCCAGGAAGGCAGCTCCCACACCTGGACCCTACCTATCGACCCATCAACTCATGAACCGGGGACCAACGGCTTTACTTCCCATCCGAAGGAAGGCGTGATCAGAGATGTTATGCCTCAGAACATCCCGGCGGCGCCGACTGGGATTGAACCCAGGCCTGCTGGGGTGAGAGGTAATCACGCTTACCACTACACCACCGGCGCCGTTATTTCATTTATTATGTAGGGTGTTAAAAAGAAACTCTCTGTGAAAATCAAGGGACATCACATACATTCTACGTGAGTCACGTAAAACTGAGAGGAGAGGAAAAATTGAGAGCTTACGTGATATTTCACGTAGCTTTAACGTATAGATTATTTTGAGTGTGCTTCCTTTTGACGGTTGCCAGTCTCTGCTTCGGTTGTTTCCTTTTTACGACGATTCTGGGGGGGGGGGGGACGTGCTGTCAAATCAGCCTACTGATCATCTTGTATGAAACTGGTTCCAAACGTAAACAAACGCTGTATAGGTTTCTTATGGCTTGTTTACGTTTGGAACCAGTTATGCGAGGTAGGCGACGATTGTTCGTATTTGACAGCCACCTCCTCCCCTTTTTTTGATCCTCCCCTAATAAACGGGTACCATACACTAATGATATCATAGATGGTGCGAGCATACCACATAAAGTTGGGATGATATCCCGAATTGGTGGTTAGGCGCTTCTTATGGTTATTGTTTATGCGGGTCCACATACAAATCAGCGAAGAGCGAGCGTGACAAGACTCTCTGAATGAACTTGTCTCGTTCGCACACGTTGTCTTAGCAGTCAGATGCTTGTCAGTGCCCTTAAGCTGAGTGGTGCGGAGAAACACGAAATGGTTGTCAAAAAGAATCCAACTGGTGCTGTCAAAAAGAATCCAACGATCTAGAGTTGCTAAAAGTGATACTTTTCTCATACAATCCCCGTCGGCAGAGAAAGTATTGTGGTCAATGTTGAAAATATTGTCATTTCGGCATTGTTTTACTAATATTCTTCAACAAAAAACTTGCTCAAATACTCGGATGTAAGCAATGTAACGAACGAACGAACCTGCACGAACTGCTGAAGGAAGAACGCAAACAAACTTTATAAGAGTCATGTGGGTAGGTGCATTCCCAACACCATGTACACGTTATTTATGGAGCAAAGGGTGAACTTTTGACAGCATGTATATGCAAATTGTGAGCACTGCATATGTTCGCAGTACCCAGCCCTTAAGAAACGTTTCGAGAAACTGAACGAAAAACTTCTTTTGAATTACGAATGAAGTGATAATTGGAAAATTCCCTGAGTAGAACCAAAATTCCAGGTTTTTCCAGAAAAATAAAATTCCCGTAAATTCCCGGTTTTCCAGGTTTTTCCAGGTAGTATACACCATGTTACATTTTTAATCAATTCTGGCATCACTGTTAATAATGTTTACATTCGATTGTTTTGATCAACCCGGGGGCAACTTGACAAGTCCAGTACATTTCCACTGTACTATCAATACGAAACTAACGATTTTAAATTGGCTCACTACTTGACTAGCCTATTGGTCCCAAGCAAAACATTAACGTACCCCATTCTAGTCGAAATTTTAGTACAACGCAATGTTTGTTTTGATTCGCTATGAAAGTTTGACAGATAAAATGAGGGGTTAGTGGATGTTCCTATGTTTCGACGGGTGAATCGATTAGCTTGGGACCGAAGATAGTACCAGAGCTGAGCAAAAAAGTTGAGCACGTTATTTCGGGACCTTCTAGTCTTAGAGTTACCCGAAAAAAAAATTACAGTGAAATTTTCAGTGGAAACAATGCTCTAACATTAATATTTATTGTCGACAATAAAAATGATTGTTATAATGTTGTACCCTTCCGAAAACGGCAAAACTGCTACCTAGATGTACAATGAATGTACATAATAAAATGTTGTTACAATGATTTTTATTGTATTTTTCATTTATTTTATTGTTAACATGATTCGATCACGAACAATAATGAACAACTCTATTACAATAAAAATTGTTGTTACATTAAATATTGGTGTGTTTTCATTGTGGGTTACTTCACGAACAATAAAAATAAATCTGATTGAAGCATGCAGACTATGAGAGGGTCAGCAACACTGCCAATGTAATCAAGATAGGCGCTGCTCGTATGGCTCTTGCTTTGACAGTTCGTTTGGCTCTATTCGTTGCCAAGTCAGTTGAACGACTACGACCAGATCGGTTTGAGTTGAGTTCAACTCACCTGCCTTATCTAAATCCCGCTTAATGCAGACCTTTCCCGTGCAGTCAATAATCATACAATAATAATAAAAAATTCCACCGCTAAGATGTCAGCAAGGAACTCTCAGGTGGAAGCATATTTCATGGGCGATTCTCTCCAGTCGAATGCATTAGCTTATCAACGACGCTCAACCACCAAAGAGACGTGACCTAGGGAGATCGAGTGCAGGGATGTTGGCCTCCAATTCTCACAAGTTCCGGATCGAATCTCAATCCATAACCAGTAAAAAAGGACTCACCCGTAACAGACCAGACATACCACCCACCCCCTCCCTTCCCGGGGCGATGTTTTATTTTTTCGATTTATTTTTAAAGTCGATAAAGTAGATCTGTCAAGCCAACACATACACTCTAAAGTACACTGTTATTTTTTTTAATCAATAAATTCGCCAACCAACAGTAAAATAACAATAATATATAATGTTATTGTAAAAAAATTATATGGGGAAATCACGAAAATTTCATTGTTAAGATACTTAACAACCCCCCTTATTTATTGTAAATTTTCCATTTACCATGAAATTTACTGTTTTGTACAACATAAATCAAGGTAAATTTATTGTAGACGTAACAATGTAAATCATTGTTAAGACAATAATTTTCGTCTTATTGTTACATTGTTTTTTATTGTATTTTTGTTGTTATTTTTTTTCGGGTACCTCTATGGTAGTACCACGTAGTACCAGTAGACTTAGTAAATGCAATCTCAGCTTTTCTCATATTCGGGATTATTTTCAAGACATGCATAAATGCGAACCAAAATGGTTAAAAATTATGAAATGTACGAGGAAACGTATTGCATCCATACAATAGAATTTATTGTACATAAAATAAATTGTATTGTTCACAACGATAAAACAACCATAGAATTTATTGTTTCCACAATAGAATCTATGGTAAATGGGAAAATCTTTAATACAACAAGGGGGTTGTTATATGTATCTTAACCGTACAAAAAAAAATTTCCAGAGCAAACTTGAGCCATTTACCATTAATTTTGATGTTTTTCTATTGTTGAAAATTCATACTATATATAGACGTATTGTAGATCTATTGTAATAACAATATTTTAAATTTTCCGGTATGATATACACACAAATACAATAAGATCGATTGTTGGCAATAGATTTTGTTGTGATTTTATATTCTTCAATGATAATTGTATAATTATTTTTTCCGGGAATTTACTCATCGCTGAGTTTCTGATGCACTTTTTGCGATGTATGAGTTAACTAGACTCAAATTTGGGTCGTTCTCATTGGCCGTGAAGAGCGTTCTATCGCACGACGAATGAGAACACCCAAATTTGAATTTAGTTCACTCATAATCGTCAAAAGTGCAGCGATGAGTAAAATTTGCCTCATGTTTTCCCAGGTGTTTACAGGATTTTCCAGGGAAAAATTCCCGAATTTGAGAAAAGTAAAGATTGGATTCACCTTGGGATTCACTCAGTCTATTGGTACTACTCTGAGACTTAATTTAATTTTCGTCAATTTCCTCATTTTCTGGCAGATTTTTTAGGTTTTCCACAGAAAAACCATGAGACAAATTTACTCATCGCTGAGTTTATGAGGCGATTATGAGTGATCAAACTCAAATTTGGGTCGTTCCTTGGGTCGTTCTCATTCGCCGTGCGCATTTTCGGCGTTTTGTTGTGGTTGCCAGTAAGCATATTTTTTTTCTGTTGAAGTTTTGACAGCTCGGTTGACACGAAGAAACGAAGAAACCTGGCAGAAACATTCCGACACACAATAAAAACAGACATGAAACACAATAAGCACAGAGGGACTTACCCCCCGACTATTTCCAATTAGTGCAGTTGTGAGTGATTTTTTGATTACGAACCCGCGTTCTACAAAACCCTCAGTACAAAACTTCTTGGAAGTGCTAACTATGTCTAAATATATGGCTGCAAAATACGTTCGCAATTTCCGGAAACGCGCGAAAGAACGGCAGGCTCCCGTTTCTCCGAAACGACCCAAGACCGCTGCAGAGAGATCTCGGACTTATCGGGAAAAAAAGAAAGCAGCCAGCGTTAACGCGTCACCGTCTATTGGTTGGGACGCTGGAGAAGGTCCTTCAGCTGAAGGTAGGAAATTCAAATTAGTTTTTAACAAGTCTTTGAAACTGCAGAAGTTCTACACGTAGCTTACTATCAAAACATTTAACATATGGTGAACCTGTATACGAGCTTTTGCTCGGCTTTTAAAATTCAATAACTGAATTGGAAACCAATCGTTTGACTTAAGAAATATCAGTATACACACTTAGATTGTTTACCGAGATGGTCACTACCGAGTAGCTCGCCCTAATAAAAAATAACCATAAACGAACGATAACCCAAATCATTGAACTATTCCACAAATGGTTTGGATGATACCCAGAACACGTCGTTAAGCAAATTAACCATACAATTTTTATTAGGGCGGCATTTCAAATATGGACCAGTAAGGTCTACAACAAATGGGAAAGCTCTGAATTTTATTTTGCTGGATCTCAGTGAAAACCTTGCCGAGATTCATCCAAATTTATGTTTGATAACTGAGATCTCGGCAAAATTCCCATTTGTTAGCTGAATCTCCTCATCTCTTCTTTTTTTCTGGAAGTTTTTCAGCGTTCTTCAGAAGCTAATGCAAGCATTTTCCGAAAATTTCTTCCAAATTCCCTGAAAAGGCCGTTCTTATTCTAAAACGTTTAGCCTTTCGCCTTCGAAAACGCTAAAAATATTAAATCAATTAAGTTAGTAAATACCGATTTTTAAAAACCTTTGAACCTTTGCGCTCGAAAACAATCTGGCAACGCTGGCCTGTCTTCTTTGTTTGTTTACAAATGACTCCGAAATTTTTGTTTGTATACAACTTAATAGAGTTGGATAGCTTTTCGCAATATAAAATAAATAGGAAAACAGTGTTCAATTTGTGGCGGCAATGTCCGATGCCATTGAAGGTAGAACCGAGAAGCTCATCAAGCTTGTCCGGCAGCATCCGGAACTGTACGATCCTAAGCACACCAAGTACTATGACACAAGCTACAAGAACAAAGTTTGGAACGTGATCGGTGCCGTCATGGAGGAGGAGAGTAAGTGGAAACCTGATATTAATTTGTTGGATGATAGTGGAAATCACTGAGTTCAAAAATTGTAGGCATAATGGCTAACTCGTAATGTATCACTTCACATTTCCGCAGCCGAAGCCTTGCTGGTGTACGAAATTGCTAATGCCCGGTTTACACTAGTGCTGATGGGCTTGTCACTCACAATAATGGTTATCAGCATGATGTAAACAGTTTTCGCAGCTGATTAATATTAGATCTGTCCCCGTACTTGCTTTTCTGTAAGATAATGTTCAGCGAAAAGCAAAAGCATGTTCCCGTATTTGATGTATCATATTCCCCCTTATTCTGCGAGTCACGTGACTCTGTCACCGGTGAGGTGACAATTGTCACCTCACCGGTGAGAGAGAGTCACGTGACTCGCAGAATAGGGGGGATTATTTTCTTACAGCAACTTACAGAAAGCTGCAGCAACCTACAGTAAAAGCAAAAGCAAAAAAAAAACAAGTAAGGGAACAGACCTATTGGCGCACCGTCCTGAAATGTGATCGTTCAGAGGTCAAGCAGTGATGATGTTTTACAATCAAAAAAATTCACAATGTCCTTGCTGATACTATCGTATTGAGCTACGCTTTTTGGGAGATTTGTGCTCTCCACGGCGAATGAGAACGACCCAAATTTGTGTTTAGCTCATTCATAATCGCCAAAAGTGCAGAAACTAAGCGATGAATAAATTTGCCTTATGGTTTCCTGTGCAAAACCTTTAAAATCTGCCGGAAAATGAGGAAAATTTACGAAAATTATGGTCAGTCTAGGAGTAGTAGCAAAAGACTGAGTGAATTCAATCTTTACTTTTCTCATATTCGGGAAGTTTTTCCTGGAAAAACATGAGCCAAATTTCTCATCGTTGAATTCCTTCACTTTATGTGATTTATGAGTTAACTAAACTCAAATTCAAGAGCCACATGTGAAAAGGGCATACAAGCTTTTTGTAAATAATCCTTTGTATGTCCTTTTCTCGCCAACTGAAGGTCGCCCACGCAAACCAACAACATCACCAGGAAGGGGAAAGCTTCCCCTACCCGCTAATGTTAATGGTTTACGTTGATGTCATATGGGTGGCGAGTAAAGGGCATAAGAAGGTTTGTTTACAAAAAGCTTGTGTGCCCTTTTCACAAGTTGTTCTTGAATTTGGGTCGTTCTCATTTGCCGTTTTAGACTTTCCTCGGTAATTATCTGATCGCCTGTCGGTATGCAACCATTGCTACAAATCCATTACAAACGAATATAACCTTTTCCTTTGCCAGTCCAAATAAGAAAGCTAACTAAATTCCTTCGTTTTTAGGTTTGGCCTGCAAAAACCGCTGGGCCAACATACGGGACCAAAACCTTAAGAATGTAAACAAGCGCTTATCCAGTCAAGGAACGAACATACCGAAATACAAGTTCAGCGATGAATTGAGCTTCCTCACGGAGTACGCCGATGCCACGGACGAGCATCAAGAGTCCCAATTTCCGACATTGCCGCCAACCTTTCCTCCAATGACATATCCGGCTGAAGAAAGTCTGAACCTGAAGGAAGAACCGGCTCAAAATTTGAACCACGACGATGTTTTCGATGAGTGCATCATTAAAGACGAACCCATAGAACCGGAACTCATTGCGTCCAGTTCCGCAACGACGGATCACTTTGAAGCTCCAACAGACACATATGCCGACGTCATTGGGTCTCCAAAGAACGGGATCATCACGAGAGTTAATAGACCTGACTGGAAACGGCTTTCAACAGAACCTGCTACCACCGAAGTAAGCTCGTCTCGAATGATGGAAATCTTGCTGCAAGAACTGGAAGTGGCCCGACACCCGGACCCGGTTGATGCATTCCTAATTGGACTAGCCCCGGCACTGAAGAACCTGCACCCCCATTACTGGCTTCAGGCAAAGTCGGAGATATTTTCAATCGTTCAGAAGTACGAACTGCAGATGCTAACCGAACTGCCGCCGATGTGAATGTATGCGATGTTGTATTTTAGTTTCTAGTCTAGCCAGTTCTTTTCGAATAAATTCTAAGCCTGGTTCGAGTAAACGTCCGTTTTGATTTAAAATTGAACCACATCTTCTTTTGCTGGTCCGACGTCCTTCAGGATCTTACCTGCATCACAGTGTTACGCTAGCTAGCCCGGTTCGTGAATGCTAAGCTTCAGTTTCTTGGACGCCCCACACTCCCTAGATCTTGCTCACTGTGCTCCCAGGGCTGGTAGCGAGTATGCAACTGAATAGTACTGTAAACCGCCATACTTCGCGCATTCGGAACAAAACGAAAGATTTGTGCCAATCAAATGCTAAATTGAGTGCGTTACGAGTTCCATCGTTACTGGTTTCAAAATGAGTTCTGCATAAATAAGAAAAATGATTAAAATTTAGTTTTTTTTTTCGTAGAGAAAAAAATATTGCAAATGCGCATCTTTGTAGACTTCTGTGGCCTAGTGATCATGCTAATAATCCGCATAGCAAACAAAGCAGTGTTTTCGTTTCAAAATCGTTTTTTATTTAAATATTGTACGCATCCTTTATGGACAGGTGTGTTTAAAGTATTTGTACATTTCGACAGTGAGCATGTATAAGGGCGTAAACGCGATGATCGATTCTCTTCACATTGCTAAGCGAAACATTTTCTGGAATTTGTTCAATGTAGTGCTGTAATAGGTTGCATTGACTATCAAATGCAACAGCAAACGCACCGAGAAACGTTAATCCAAGCGAGTTATTAACAAACAGAAAATCGACGAAGAGAACCGCTCATCGCGTTTACGCCCTTATGCATGCTCACTGTCGAATTATTTGAATTCTCGATGAACATTTCAAATGGTCCTATCTGCTTTGATCGATTCTCTTCATCGACTTTCTCTTTTCATAACCACTGCTATGCAAACAGATTTCGCGCTAATTCTACCACATAGTTTGATAAAGGAGGTTCTTATCTAGCGTCCAAAACGTCAAATACAACAGGGAAAGGGTTTGCAGCTAAGTTATTAACGAAAGAGAAAGTCGATGAAGAGAATCGATCAAAGCAGATAGGACCATTTGAAATGTTCATCGAGAATTGTTGGAACTAGAGTCGGTGTATAATGAGTCACGCCAAGAGAAAAACAGTTGTCTCGCATCACGGTTTTTGAAAGATTCCCATTCTTTTCACTTGGCAACAGAGGACTTCTACAACAACTTCACATGACTTCTAGCGAGAGAAAAAAAATGCGGCTGTAGTAAATCATTATATCAGTGATTTTGTCAAATTATCTTAACAAAAATTAGTAGAAATTCTCATTACTGATCATTACCGAACGTATCCCATGACAGTTTAATGCTCACTGCATGTTTATGCACATTTCTTCGATTATATTTTATATGTTATTGCAATACCTTTCGTGGACCTTTCATAACATCGTAATTATTGTTTAGTATGCGCTATTTTCACTCTTCTTCTTAAATTTCTTAAGGCACTTCACCCAGGTTTTTCAAGCACTCTAGAGGTACCCGTTTTGGCCGCGAATCGGTTCCGGAAGATTCCCTCAGAGAAATAACGTTTTCACCTCGACGAACACAAACAGCGTGCTTTAAAAATTAATTTTTCGGAACGGATTCCCCTGGACAAGGACACATTTCTAAAGAAGTGTATTACAATTTGACGTACCCGCAAAAAATCCGTTCCGATATTCGTGAACAAAAAATCACGATAAGCTGAACTACTAATTTTTTCGTACTCATGACATAGTTCCCATAAATTTAATTTTCAAGAGTTTAATCTCAAATTCGTGAACTTAGTTTACGCCTGTTCAGCGCGACTAGTGATTACGTAACGCTGAGCAAAATCATGATTTCGTGATACCATGAACCCATAATTAGGTACTGCAGCGTGACGTCAAAAATGAACTAATGAGGTAATGCGTGGTGAAAGGATGTTGCTCGTAGACATTGCAGAAGTGTGGTTAACTTCTCACTATAGTCTGAAAAATATCGAGAAAATCTACCCAAGAAACAAAGTGCACGTAAACAGAGCCATTTTACTGTCATCCGATTGAGGTTAACGCCGGCGGTGCAAAACCTAATTGTGATTTTCATTCCTGCAATCGTGAACTTGGATCATATGCAAAGCTGAAGCTGTTCGTGAGGGGTTCGTGGATTTTCCTATGTTTCGAGGGGTGCATTGATTAGCTTGGGACCGAAGAGAGTACCAGATCTGAGCCAAAAAGTTGAGCATGTTTCTTCGGGACCTTCTGGCACCGCGAGTAACTCACATCGTTCAGTGACCAATATCACTGTCATTTGCTTTCTCACTTTTCGCATCACAGCCACTTATGGAGGTGCGAAGCCGAAAAGCTGTTGTCAAGCAAAACAACAACACCAATTGGGGACTTCCGGCCTACAACCTACAACTCCACGCGAGTATGATTGCGATTTTGAACTTTCGGTCCTAAATTTTCTTCGGTTTCCAGCTCCCGGGATCGCTCCTCGAATGGCCTACGAATTAAAAAAAAAATCAAAACATACTGAGGACTAAAATCGACTCGATTTTCTTGGCTGTTGCTGAGGTTTAATATTATATGATTGTACTGACGGAAACGTGACTGGATGACCGGATCTATTCATCGCAAATTATTCGGATTACTTTATTCCGTCTTCAAGTGACCGATCTTCCCATGCTTGGCATGCACAGTTGTACACACTACCTGCTCATTTGTTAATAACTTTTCACTCAGTTATTGAAAATTGATTTTCTTTAAAGTAATTGATAGATTAGGATCATAGCTTAATATAGATATGCAAAGAGTAGGTAAATCTTAACATTTGAATCTACACCAATGAATTTTTACACTTAAAGTCCGAGATGTGCAGCGAGCATTTCTCACTTCATTTTTACAACGCAAAAATAAATACAGTTTATTACTAGAATTAAAATCTACCTTTTCTTACGTACCTATTACAAGCTTGAACTTTGTTCTATCTACTACTTCAAACAGAACAACGTTTTGTCAGCTGTGTGCAAAGTTATTAGCAAATGAGCAGGGTTTAGTCACGAAGCACTATTCCCAACCGAAACGGACGTTTGCTAGATCTTGTCCTGGCAAATGATTTCGGATTACCGGCCACAAATCAGTCTAGATGCTGACCATCCCGCTCTCGTCGTGTCATTCATGTTACCTAACTCCGATTTCAAAAAGACAAAAAGAATCTCAATTCTCAATTCTCAATTCTCTTCATCGACTCTCTCTTTCGTAAATAACTCGACAGTGAGCATGCAAAAGAGCGTAAACGCGATGATCGATTCTCTTCGTTGATTTTCTCTTTTGTTAATAGCTCGCTAGATTTAACGTTTCTCGGTGCGTTTGCTGTTACTTTTGATAGCCAATACAACCTGTTACTACTCTGCATTGAACAAATTCTAGAAAATTGTTTCGGTTAGCTGTAGCAATGCAAAGAGAAAATCGATGAAGAGAATCGATCATCGCGTATTCGCCCTTATGCATGCTCACTGTCGAATTGTTGGAACATGCATACAAAGTAAATTACAATACACGCAGAGAAATGGTTTTTAAATTCAAATGGATATGCTTTTGACTCAGGGCCTAATATGTTTTTGGTATTGATTCAAATACATTATTCAATTAATTCAACGAAACATATTTTTGAATCAACAAATCGGTTGTAGAGTCGATAATCCGTTTGTTGATTCAAATATATGTTATGTTGGAATTAGAAACACTCATGGGCGGAGGAAACAAAATACAATTCGGCAGCAGGGATTTGTACCTAAATAATCTTGCAACCCTTGGTAGAAGCTAGCATTTCACATGACTGTTACTTTTGATTCGATTTACGTGCAAATTAATAATTGATTACATCGCAATACTTTGCACATTTCTTTGTGCCATTAATTAACCACCCTAATAAAAAATTACCATAAACGAACGATAACACAAATAATTGAACTATTCTACAAATGATTTGGATGATACCCCGAACACGTCGTTAAGCAAATTAACCATAATATTTTTATTAGGGCAACCAAAATCAATTAATCAATAGAGTTAGAATATTGTTTTTTTTTATTCAAAAAACTAGTTGAATTTGAGAAACACACGAAACATATAGCGAATTTGTTTATTATCGGGGTTGGAACCAGTGTGAAACCGAACTTTTTGTCAGTGCGAACCTGAACCTGAGGTAGGTTTTAAAAACAAACGATCAAACTGACGTTTGTCAGAAAACAAGCAGAGCCGATCTTGATACCCGATCCAGGTTGGAACTGAATAATAAACAAATTCGCTAATAGAGATGATTGAATTTCTGTTCGATTGTAATACTCTCGAATTTAATCTAGTAACAATAAAAAAAATTCTAATGGGAATGTTCGATTGGCTCAGATTTTGACAGTTCATTTGGCTGAAAACATTCCTTCCGCTTATCTCTCCCTCTGACTATTTCTAGTTGGAATAGTGATACAATATTTTTGAATCAATAACAAAATACATTAGACCCTGAAACAAAAATTCATTTTTCTGCGTGTAGAAAGTCTCATGCGCGGAATAACGACACTGTTTTTTTTTTGCTTGCGCCTAATTCCGTGCAAGGTGGCTACATACCCACCATGATTCCGTGGGTTTCATTTTAGAATGCCGTCACGGAAAAATCATTCCGTACTTGAATAATTCAAGCTGAACATTGCATTAGGTCCTAGGTAACATTGATCGATTCTCTTCGTCGACTTTCTCTTTCGTTAATAACTTGAGCACATAACCGTTTCTTGATGTGTTTGTCGTATTAGATGCTAGATAAAAGCTTCTTTTATCGATCTGTGGGCTAAAAATACCTGGGAATGTCTTCAAATGGCCGTGGGGATGCAAAGAGAAAGTCGACGAAGAGAATCTGTCAATGTTACTTAGGACCTAATTCAATGTTTAGCTTGAATTGTTAAAAGCGCGTTCATTGATATAAAAAGTTAGGGACTGTGCATAAGCCACGTATCACGTTTTGGTTTAGATTTTAAGCATTAAGTATGTATTAAATGTCGGGTGAAGCAGTTACCTCTATGGTACGATTGCCTAGCCCAACATACCCACCAACTAGTGAAATACAATCGAATGAAGAAGTCCCAGACGTTTGCCGCAGGCAACAATCGACCGGAACAGGATTCTGTACTGTTAGAGGAAGGAAGCAGCTACAGCAGTATGTATGTGCAAAAATTAGAATCGGATGAACTAGAGAACATATCTTATGCTAGAGATACAGCAACGTCGAAAAGGGACTGTAAGAACATCGCTACAATCAACGCATGTGGAAGCGCTACCGAATCGCAAAGAGATACCATTGATCTAGAGCTTAAAGGTATTGATGTGTGTGGTCTTCAAGAAACCAGAATGACTTGGGGAGAAACAACGACCCTCAACTATCAATGGCATTTGAGCCCGATTGAAACTTAAACCTCTATGCTAAAACTAGTCATCGCGGTATCGGGATATTGGTACGTCGGAACTATGGTACCGAAATCAAGAACTTCAGAGCTGTCTCGGAAAACATGGCTTCAGCCGAGAGTTCAATCAACAATCAATACGAAACTAACGATTTTAAATTGGCTCACCACTTTAGTAGCCTATTGGTCCCAAGCAAACGATTAACGTACCCTATTCTAGTTGAAATTCTATTACTACACTATGTTTGTTTTGATTCGCTATGAAAGTTTGACAGATAACATCAGGGGTGTGTGTGGATTCATGCAGAACATGCAGGGGTGAGTGAAATAGCTTGGGACTGCTTGGGACCGTTGTTCTGGTACTGAGTGAGCCAAAAATAATAATGATTTTCTTCGGGACCCAGTGGTCTTAGAGTTACCTCTATGGTTCAATCTAGTAGTAGTGTTGCCATGTGGTACAATCATATGCCTTGTTCAGACTACCGAGTTATAACATGTTATAGCGCAATCTTGATGGTGGTTTCTGTGTTGCAATTATTTGACAACCGTTATAACATGTTATAACCAACAATCAATACGAAACTAACGATTTTAAATTGGCTCACCACTTTAGTAGCCTATTGGTCCCAAGCAAACGATTAACGTACCCTATTCTAGTTGAAATTCTATTACTACACTATGTTTGTTTTGATTCGCTATGAAAGTTTGACAGATAACATCAGGGGTGTGTGGATTCATGCAGAACATGCAGGGGTGAGTGAAATAGCTTGGGACTGCTTGGGACCGTTGTTCTGGTACTGAGTGAGCCAAAAATAATAATGATTTTCTTCGGGACCCAGTGGTCTTAGAGTTACCTCTATGTTATAACTCTGTAGTCTGAACGTGGTAATAGAGGTACAATCCAGTAGTAGTGGTGTTGCCATGTGGTACACTGAAAAATTGCAATAGCAGGTTAGTCACCAAAGTTTTCAAGCCGCTCCGTCTGTCACTTCGTTTGTGCTTTCACTATCACTTAAAAAAAAAACTATAACAGATACGTATTTCGTTTACTACTTGCAAAGTCTATGACTAGACACTGAAGAAGTTCTCAAGTAGTAAACGAAATACGTATCTATTATACCTAGTTTTTTTTTAAGTGATAGGTAGTGAAAAACTCTCGTATTTACATTATCAGGTTTGACATAATTTTCGTTTCTGACATCAGTAGAAGGTAAAGTCTCAACTTCCTGCAAAGCGTTAATATCAATATCGGCAAATTCTATGATTCGCATAAATTGTTTACAAATAAATTCCGAACTGTGGATGTCGATATTATCAAAAACATCTGTTGTTTTAGAACAAATTCCACAAGTTTTTTAACGGTTGTTGGCAATACAAACATGCTCAAATATTTGGTTCAGCTCTGGTACCTCTATAGAAATACTAGCCGAAAGAATATAAAGTATAAGAAATGTATAAAAAGAAAGCACATACATTTAAGATAGAGTTTTAGATATTTAAGATTAATTAGATAATTGATAAAAGTCTCTCACTATAGTTTTGTCTGATATTTGAGCGGGGGCAGGCCATTATCATTTTGATATAATTTTGATTGAAACAATCGGTATAAATCGGTATACAATCTCAAAAATCGGAACTTTATCTGTATATCGGTATCAATTTTGAAAATCGGTACAAATACCGATAAATTTGGCAACGCTGGTTTTCAAATTGCTCACGAACGCAGCCATCGTGGCTTGCAGTCGAAATCTATTACTTCAGCGTTATCATCAGCAATTACAATCTACTACCATTTTCTCAAATGTCAGTCAAAAAAGACGATTGTTTTTGTTTGCGTTTACCTGTTTTCGAATCGACTTACGGTCGTCTCAATTCTTTTGCATTTTTAATACATCGGATCATCGGATAGTTTTTTTTTGTGTGAATTGTATAGTTTATTACCAAATTAAAGTTAACATTAAATAGAAAAACACCCAGTATGTCGGAACGTAAAGTTTTGAACGTAGGTTTGCAAAAAAATATGGCACCTACAACCATCAAATACAATCACACTTCTTTCTGCAGAAATACTATCCTCCGGATTTCGACCCGTCGAAAATCCCCCGGGTCAAGCTCCCGAAGAACCGGCAGTACACGGTCCGGCTGATGGCTCCGTTCAATATGCGCTGCGTGACGTGCGGCGAGTACATCTACAAGGGCAAGAAGTTCAACGCCCGCAAGGAGGACGTGGAAAACGAGGACTACCTCGGCATTCGGATCTATCGGTTCTACATCAAGTGCACCCGCTGCCTGCAGGAGATTTCCTTCAAGACCGATCCGCGCAATACCGACTACGAAATCGAAGCTGGTGCCACGAGGAACTTCATGGCGTTAAAGTTGGCCGAAGAGCAGGCCCGGCGGGAGGAAGAGGAAGCTCGCGAGGAGGAGGCAACGAATCCGATGAAGCTGCTGGAGAACCGTACGCAGCAATCGAGGAACGAAATTGAGCTGCTGGAATCGCTGGAGGAGCTGAGGGATCTGAACCGACGGCAGCAGGATGTGGACTACGACCGGATGCTGCAGCAGTACGATCCGACCGAGTCGATTCGGGCCCGCGAGGAACGGCTGGAGCGGATGGACGAGGAGTATATCAAGTGAGTATACGAAGGCTCGGATTGTAGTTCACGGCCAATGAGATCAACTCAAATTTGAGTTCAGTTTGCTCATAAATGATAAAAAGTGCAGGAACTGAGCGATGAGTAAATTCAATCTGAACATAGCATAAGGTCCTAGGTAACATTGATCGTTGACTTTCTCTTTGTATTCCCACGGCCATGTAAAGACATTCCCAGGTTTTTTCGGCACACAAATCGATGAAAAAGCTATTATCTAGCAACGAAACAAGTGCTCAAGTTATTAACGAAAGAGAAAGTCGACGAAGAGAATCGATCAATGTTACCTAGGGCCTAATGCAATTTTCAGCTTGAATTTACCTCATGTAGTGGAATTAAATAGATTTGTGAGGTTTCCACATGAAGCAAATTTATTCATCACTTAGCGCCTGAACTTCTTCCGATTATGAGTAAACTGACCTAAATTTTGGGTTGATCTCATTCAACGTTTTGCATACCTTCCTTGAACTTCTATAAATATGACGATTGTCGATAAAGCAGGACCGCAGCGAACCGCTCGAATAATTCAGAGGCTGAATGATGAATAGTTCTCAAAAACCAATCACATACTTCGCCTTTGGCTGCGTACTGCTAGCGATTAGCGTGCACGGCCGATGAGATCGACTCAAATTTGACTGTTTTTTTTTCCCTTGAAATTGTAAAAGAGATTAATGAATTTTTTCTCGTTTTTCTTCCAAAATCTGCTGGAATATGAAGAAAATCGATGAAAACTTTACACTGCCAAGGAGTCCACTAATAGACTGAATGAAATCTCTCTCGATTTTCCTTTTCGATACTGATCGAAAAAGTTTTCCTGGAAAATCGATGAAAATTTTACTTAGAACTGCTGCAACTCCTGGAATTCATTCTACAACTATGTTGATATTTTTTTCTGAATTCTCACAAAAATTCATAATTCTCAATTATCTATAAAAGTTCTGATTGGATATACCTTAGAATTCTCTTGGTAAACTCTTAAGAATTGCTTTGGAGCACTCTTTAGAAATTCTCTTGAAATTCACTTCAATGTTGTCAACGGCAAACTTGCAATGTTTGAAAAATCATGGCTCAGCCATTTATTGACAAATTTTAAATCTATTGGTGCCATTTGAAACCACATACTTTAAATATTTATTCGGTATTAATAGATTTAAAATTGATCGATAAATTACTGAGCAATGATTTTGTTGCCAATATGCCACGAAGGTGACAATCGTGAATTTTGGCGGAGCTTACATCAATGTGATAAATATAGTGTTTGAGGATGACTGAATGAGTAAGCTGTTTTATTCTGCCATACCTCCGTAAGTTTTACAGCTGTCAAATTACCCAAAAGTGTCAGATTGCCCAAAAATATCGCGACCCTTTTCAAATAGACCAATGTAACATATCCACCATTTAAAAAAAATCGAAGTTGAAGTTCGACAGGTTATTATTTTAACTGTTTAGAAACAATACATTTTGCAATACTATTTTTAATGTAGTCAGTGAATAATAAAGTTGAAAATTCAGTAGAAACGGTAAAATCACAATTTTACTCTGAATTTCATGCTACAATATAGAATCAACCACATAGGACGTTTTGACTAGTCAAGTTGTACATCGGACATGTTACATTGGACGATTTTTCTCTATGACATAATCAATGAGTGTTACATTGGACGTTTTGTCTACATTATACTAGATTCCCTTTCACAGATTTCAGAGTAGAATACCTAACTTTGGATTGGCCCCGCCTTTAGAAAATGAGCACCAATCATGTTAGGCAGTCCGAATGACCGAAGTAACAATCATGTATCCATCATTTCAAACTGTACATTGTGAATTTTCAGCTACACTTCACATGTATGCGAGCTGTCAAGATGTTAGGGGACTGATTGTTTTTAACAGTTTTAGGTTGATTTTTCTGACACCGACAATGATTATGCATCAGAACCCTAGTCTTAACTACTTCACATCCTCGGTGGCATAAAAAGTAACAAGGACTAAGATGTGTTCCTTTGATTACTGAAAAATCCTGTTCTCATAGTTTGACATTGTCAGGACTAGGGTTGGTGATCTACCCCACGTTAGTAAAATCATGTCCGTCATAGGTATAACCGCAATTATTTGCTTTCTCACTCCAGCTGACCCACATAAAAAGCATACTAATCAGATTGCCTAGGATAGAATCTTTTGAAGTAAAAGAAATCCAAACAGGAATGCAGTTAACATATTTACTGACCCCAAGTAAACAACTGCACTTGTCATATCCACTCATGCAGACTGCTTTCGGTCCACACAATAATGGGATAAGACATGCCATAACCAATTATAATAGTATTTCCTTCCATCCATCGATGGTATTCAAATGAATTCAATCAATATTCCTGTTTGTGATTGCAAACATGATCCAGTTCATTTGGTTCTAATTTATTATGCAATCATGTCTCTATCTCTCTCTCTCGGAATAAACGATAGGGTTGCGGAAGGGTTAGGCGGCGGTAATCCTTCTACCTGCAGCTGCTGACGGTCTCTTTAGATTTAGAAGTAATGGAACGGAAGTTGACTTTGCTGTGATGCTCGATTGGTTGGAAATAGAATGGTTACTTTCAACCCACAAGTACACCCGATAGAGGATTGAATTAATGGGCAGGTTGATGGAATTTAGAAATTAGAGCAGTTTCAAGCCAAATGACGAATCGATCTGATGCGGCCTTCTATGATTTGAAATTTTTTTGAAGTATTAGTAGTTTGAAGTATAATAATTCAAGACCAACAATTGAAATGGCCTTAACTCCGTTTTGTAAACAAACCTTGTAAGGCCATTTTCTCGCGAACCGAAGTTCGAAAAGGCAAACCAACATAATTAACAGGTAGGAGAAATTCTTCTCTACCCGATTGTGGTTTCGGTTCGCGAGAAAATGGCTTTACAAGGTTTGTTTACAAAATGGAGTTAAGGCCATTTCAATTGTTGGTCTTGAATTAGCGTGCCGATGTTACGATCAACCTCGCTTCACGGCAACGGGACAGGCGTACCTCTATGGGCGTACTGTGTTACAGCATCAACACGTATTTTGTAGATTTGGTATTATGGCAGTTAACATAATTTTATGTCAAAGATAACCTGTTTATCTATGTTTATAGTATTATGTTGTATCTTTGTTGTTTATCTATCAATATTATTTGAAATTATCAAGGCTTCTTATACCTTCGTCATCTTCTCTTGTGAATTTATTGGATGAAATTGAAGTAATACAATTTGAAGGTACAAGTTTACTGAAGTCTAAGATCTCATAAAATATCGGAACCTTAAAGTTTCGAACTCCAAGTCCAAGATCTAGAAACTTTTCAAAGTGCAAAAATCTCAGAATTAAAAGAATGAAGTCTTAGCCATTTTTGTTTAATTTCAAGTCCGCATACTTTAATTTCGTGGAAAACCTGTGCGCAATCATTTTATACTGCAAAACTTTGATCACTAGGGGTTACCTATGAACTACAACTTTCGTGCTTATATACCTTGGCTGGAAAACGTATAGTTTAGTCGTTAATTCAGTTCTTGTAGATTCACATTTAGCGGAATTTATCGGAGATAAACTTGCATGCAAGTTGCAGTAACGATTTCAATCATAGTACCCCGACATGGCACAGAAACATTTCATTTGTCAAACGAGTGATTCGAACTAGAGAGGGTCTAGTATAAGAGAGGAGTAGACTGGCTCGTTTTGAGCCAAACGAACTGTCAAACAGCGTTGCCAGATATACGGATTTATCGGTATTTATACCGACTATCGAACTTTATACCGGTATACATATAAGGATTCTCAGAATACCGATTTATGAGATTTTATACCGATTATTACCGATTTTTTTAAATATTCAAAATGATGATTGTCTGCCCACGCTGAACTGTTAGAGGAAACTATTGTAAGATACTAATCTTTTTGAATATCTCAAGTTCTTTGTTTATTTATTTATTTATTTATTCGTCAATCAATCAAATCGTAGACTACATATTGTGTCTTTCACGAATATTTAGACTATAGAGACGAAATTGAGGCAGCTCGTAGATGGTTCAAATGTCAAAAGCTACCACCTTTCCCTATTTACGTCATGTGTCTTGATCATTAAAATTTTGTAAATAAAAGAAACGTCAGTTAACATCGATGTTCAACTAAAAACGTAACTATTTCATAAATACTATTGCGTAAAATGGCATCTATTATTTCCGTTGTGAAAGATCAGAGAGCCTCAGTGAATACCATATATCATGTTTTATATGGATATTATTTCCTTGGATTGTCCAAATCGAGGCTAGCAACAATTTATCACAAACACAAGTCCACAATCACAAATTGGATCATGCGATACGAGGAGGACGGATTCTATTCTCGCCGAAGTTACGAAAGGGATGCTGTGAAATTCTCTCCCGAAAAACGACAATGGTTGATAAACCTGTATCTACAAAATCCTACGCTTTATCTACATGAATCTAGAAAGCGGTTCCAGCAGGAGTTCAAGACGACAATATCTATTTCATCCATTTGGCGCATCATACATAACGCTGGTTTGACCTGGAAATGTTTGGAACGTCGTGCAATTCGAATCAAGGAAAGTGATGTAATCCGTTTTTTCAACGAAATTTCGTGCATTCAGTGGGACTACCACAACCTCGTCTTTTTAGACGAGGTTAGTTTCGATAACAGATCCATGTTACGCTCCAGGGGCTACGGAGTTCGAGGCCACCGCTTAGTGTTTCGAGGAGAATTTGTGCGGAAGCCTAGGGAATCCTTGCTTTGTTTCATTGGGCAAAACGGAATGCTTGAAGCCTTCTCTACCAACGAAACATTCAACCGACTAAACTTTTTTGAATGCTGCCGACGATTTGCTCTGGAAACGGGCCATGTTCAGTGCTATCCGGGTAGACATTCCATATGGATATTGGATGGAGCGAAAATTCACTGCAGTGCGAAAATCATACACACTACCAAAAAGTCATGTAA